GTTAGAAACATAGATGAGAAACAGCTGCCTCCTGCACACCCCCTACTGGGGATGTGCCCGCAACCCAGGTACATGCCCTTGATGGGAATCGAACCTGGGACCCTTCACTCTGCAGGCTGCAGGCCTACGCTCTATCCACTGAGCCAAACCAGTTAGGGCAGCCATTTCCTTCTTAAATTTAGTTAGCAACTATTGCTGACAAAACTTTGTGCCACCAGCGTGGCCGGCGAGCTCAGTGGGTTAGAGCAGGGGTGGGCAAACTTTTTGACTCGAGGGCCACAATGGGTTCTTAAACTGGACCAGAGGGCCGGAACAAAAGCATGGATGGAGTGTTTGTCACTGTGAACTAATATAAATTCAAAGTAAACATCATTTCATAAAAGGGTACGGTCTTTTTTTTTTTTTTTTTTAGTTTTATTCATTTCAAACGGGACGGATCCGGCCTGCGGGCCGTAGTTTGCCCACGGCTGGGTTAGAGTGTCCTCCTGACAACAGGTTTCTGGTTGGATCCTCAGTCAGGGCAATACAAGAATCATCCAGTGAATGCATAAATAAGTGGAACAAGAGATCGATACCTCGCTCCCTCTCTAAAATCAATCCCCCCTCCCCCGAAACTGTGTGCCACCTCTGCCAGTCACCAAGGATTAAGAAAAATTGAATATGCAGATTAAGGTGTTGAGATGGGAACTCTGTTTTGTTAGTTTTAGTGTGTTAAAAAAATGAGCGCTAGCCAGTATGCTCAGTGGTTGGAGCGTTGGCCCGGGTTTGATTCGGTGCAGGGCCCATACCTCTGCTGCAGACTTGATCTCTGGCCCTGGTTGGAGCTTGTGCAAGAGGCAACCAATTGATGTTTCTCTCTGTCTCTCCCCCTCTCTTATATACTCTCTTAAAAAAGAATCGATGGAAAAAGTATCCTCAGGTGAGGATTAACAGCAACAAAATGATGAAATAGAAATGACCTCTTGCTCTCACCCACTGTGAAGCCAATGAAACTCAATTTCTAAGGCATCCACTCTCAATAACAACCAAATGTGTTATTTTTGTAATATTAAAATTGTCCTGCCTTGAGATGGTATTGAATGAGGGAGAATGGAGGGTGATAATTTGTAGCCACTGTTGGATGACCAGACAGGTATTGATGCCTAGGGACAGGTAGCAAAATCTCACATAGCAAGCAAGCCTAAATAGCTGTATATAAAGCAGCCCAAGGAATACGCTTAAAGAATAATAGGACTCGGTAGGCTACGCAAGAGTCCCATATTGTAAATGCCTCTGTAATGTTTCAAAAAAACACGAGCAGCTATCTTTCCCATAAGAAACTGCCCCCTTTAACTTTCTGTGTGAGGTCACAGTAGCAGACTCGAGTGGACAACATGTTTTGTTTTCCTAAGATCCCAGCAAAACAACTCAAGAATGCTTAGGCAGCCCACCCCACACAACCTTGGAGACAATGTGAGGACTCTCTTAGATAAATGCATCTCTCTCCCTCTCTCCTGGCTCAGGGTATCCATACACACATGTCGTCTCCCTGGTGAGATATTTGGGGATTAGGGATCCCCTGTCCCTCCTCTGAACATCCAGCACAGAGGTATGTGTTGTTCTTCTAAGTGCAAGATTCTCAGGAACCTCACTAACACTTTCCTTCCTGGGTGAAAGGGTGCCAGAGCAAAGAGCTTCCTGTTAGGATCACCTTTATCCTGGAGGAAATTTACTATAGTCTCAACTATTCTCTCCTCATGTTTCTCTTGGTCCTTTCATTCTGGGCTCTTGCTGTGACCAGAAGGGGAACCATGAGGTCTTGAAGCAGACAGGGACTTTAGGAGGCATGTAGTACAATTATGGGTGTTTGGAAAAGTGGACTGACATAGTTTAGGTCACATATTATGTTAATGGCAGTGCTGGGACTAGAGCCCCTCATTTCTCATGTCCTTTTATTCATTTATCATTCACCCACCCATTCATCCAACAGGTATTCTGAGTTCCTTCTATGTCATTGGCTCTCAAGCTTGGCTGTATGTTGGAGTCACCTGGGGAGCTTTAAAAGCTACCATTGCCTGAGTTCCACCCGCAGAGATTCTGATTTAATTGATCTGGGGAGGAACATAAATATTTGCTTTTTTTTGAAATATATTGTTTTATACATAAGACAATATATATTGTTTATATGTAAACCAATACGGGGGACATATACCCTGGGCAACGCAGTAGTGATCAGTAACCTCATTACCATAATGTTTATTTATAGAGCACAGTGGCACACAAAAATTTAAAATTCATAAACAGAGTCCTTATGTTAAGAGTTCTTCCTGAAAATTCTTAATTGTATGCCAATTCATTCTTAAGTAGTAAAAGTTTATGACACACTTTTTATTGAGGGGGAGTGACTATTAAACCTTCACAGGTGATTCCCCGGAACAGCCAGTTTGAGAACCACACCTCTCTGAGCTGGAGATACTGCAGTCACCAAACCAGACAAGTAATTACTGACACAAATTAAACATGTAAATTAATAAGATAATGTGGGGTAGAAATAAGTGCTCTGCAGGAAACAAAAACAAGAACAACAGTGTAACGTGATAGGGCATAGCTGAAATCAGAGGCTCCTTTAGGTGAAAGATTCTCAGGATGGAGGGGAGACCTAAATCCCAAGAAGGTGCCACGGGAGCGTCTCGGGGGAAAGCACTCCAAGCAGAAGGATGTCTGGATGTCTTCCCTCTGCCCCTCCAAATCCACGCTCATCCCTCTCGCCCTGCCTGCTGCTATATAAGGCTGGCCAGGAAGGACCTCGTCAGCAGGGTGTGGAGCGTGGGCATCTAGGATGTGAAGATCCGGGTGTGGATCCTGGGGTGGAGAGATCTAGGTTATGGGGCCTGGAGAGGAGAATCTCAATTGTGATTCGGTTAAATGTATCAAAAACCTAAAAGCTATCCCTGGATATGATAATTCCACTTTTAGGATTTATGTACAAAGATCTTCATCACAATGTTATCTAGGGGAGAAAAACCTGGAAACTATGTAAATAGCGCATAAAATGGAAATGGTTAAATACATTATAGTATGTTACTGGCGTAACATCATGCTGCCAGTAAAAATATTCACTGCAGCAGGCCATGAAAGAAAAGGATGAGAGATGAGGCTATCTGAATATTAGCAATGTTTGCCTGTCAAAAAGTCATTTAAAACATTTAAAAGGCAGACTGGAAAAATATTCATTATCTGTGACAAGAGTTATTACAAATGAGGAAAAAAATAATAGAAAAATGAGTAAAAGACTTGAATAGAGAATACCTAAAAGAAATTGTCAC